TTTGTTTTATAAATTTATGATAACACTAAACATAATTTTATATATTTACTCTTTCATGTATTATGACCACTTTTTTATGTTTTTACTAGCTGATACCAGGACTTTTAACGTCTATACAATACTAAATCAATTGTTGAGTCCCAATTTATTTTTTGAAAGCTTCATTATTTGTCATGTAGCTTTGGCATGCTTTTTCTCTTTCCTCCTCGCATCCTTTCTTTTTTCCTCTTTTTTGTTCTTTTCTCTCTCTTTTTTCTCTTTCTTTCTCTCTTTCTTCTATCAAACATAATTTATTGTTGTTAAACTTGCACCCTTAATATTTTCTTTCGGTAAATTCCTAAGCCCATAATGACAAGTGCAAATGATATAATTATCTTTAAGACTATCAAATAGAACCAGGCACTGTGATTCATGCCAGTAATCCCAGCACTTTAAGAGGCCGAGGTGGATTGCTTGAGCCCAGGAGTTCGAGACCAGCCTGAGCAACATAGTGAAACCCTGTCTCTACAAAAAATAAAAATAAAAATAACCCGATGTGGTGGTGTGCCTGTAGTCCCAGCTAGTGAGGAAGCTGAGGTGGGAGGATTGCTTGAGCCTGGAAGGTCAGTGAGTTATGATCACACTACTGTGCTCCAGCAGTAGTCTTTTGAGACATTGTCTCAAAAAATAAAAAAGGAAAAAAGACTAGCAAATGGAGGTAAGCGTTAGGAAGAAAATCAAAGCAGGAAGGGGTGGGGCTTACTGTTTTTGAAAGGGTTGTTAGGTAAGGCCTCTCTGAGGAAATAGCATTTGACCTGAGAGATTTAAATGCAAAGTGGGATTGAGCCATGGTACCACCTATGGGAGAGTTCTTCAGGGCAGAGGAATCAGTAGGTATGAAGGCTCTGAGGTTGGAACTTGCTTTGAACTTTAGAAAGTTCAAAGGGCAGGAAGGAGTACAACAGGGCTAAAGTGGAGTGAGCTTGAGGCTCTGAGATGGCTAACTCACAGAGGGTGCTAGACCCCACATAAGGATTTTGTTAGCCTAGAGGTTTCATTCTAAGATTCAAAGCCACCGAAGGATCTCAAGCTAGAAAGTGGCATGGTCTCATCCCTTTGTAGAACATCAACTGTAGAGGTCAGAAGAGAAGCCACAGACAGACCAGTTTGTGAAGAAACCACTGCCAAAGTCCCAGAAAGAAGATCATGGTAGGACACTGTCTTAGTTCATCCCTTGTTGCTCATAACAAAATACCCGAAACTGGGTAATTTTCAAGAGAAAGAAATTTATTTCTTACGGTTCTGGAGGCTGAGAAATCCAAGGTTGAGGAGCTATGTCTGGTGAGAGCCTTCTTGCTAGTGGGGACTCTGCAGAGTCCAGAGGGAGCACAAGACATGGCATCATTTGGCAATGGGGCTGAGCAGGTGAATGTTCCAGGTCAGTTCTCTCATCTTGTTGTGAAGCCACCAGTTTCCCTTCCATGATAACCCATTAATTCATTAATTAATTCATTAATTCATTCATGAGGGGAGAGTCCTCATGATCTAATCACCTCTGAAAGGCCCCACCTTTCAATCCTGCCACACTGGAAGTAAATGTCAACATAAATTTTGGAGGATACAAATATTCAAGTTGTTTGGAGGAGACAAATATTCAATATGTTGTCCATAGCATGGTATCAAACAGTAGGTGAAATGTTCTCTGGTCTGCACTCTCAACAAAAAACAAACAAATCACTAAAATAAAAACTCCATGTGTGTTTGAGAGAGATATTTTAATCTTGACTACTTTGGTAGGAAACATACTGCTCTAACTTCTAACTTATTAATTATTAGACTTTATTCTTAGTGCTACATAATATTCAATTGTTTAATTGTCATGTGTTTTGTGGATTTTTTTTTTCATGTATTACATACTCATCTTGATGCCAGATTTACTGGAATAGGTTTTTATCATCAACTTAAATGAAAGTTTGAGCATTCATATTATTTTTACTCATACCATTCATATTATTAACCTTTTATCTATCAAATTTATGGCAAATAGTTTCCTAGTTTGTTGGCCTTGTTCTTTTGTGCATGATTTTATTTTTCTTTAAGTTTTCAATTTGAAGCAAGTTTCTACTTGACGGTTGTACCTTTAATTTTCCTCTGAGCCAAGATTCCTTTAGGATAGCTTTTCTTGATTTCCAGGTGCTAGGACTCCTTTAGTTTCAGTCTTCAGGAGCACTGCCCACAGGGCTCTCTCTGGCTATCTACTGTCTATGAATAATTTATTTATGGGTCAGTGCCAGACTTTCTCTACTTCCTGACCAACTGTTTGAGGAGAGGTATGAAAGAAGAGGACAGCTGAGCTGGAGACATAGGAGAAGTGTTTGCTAGATACTACAAATAGCAAATGTAAGGAATTAATCAGAAAGCAGGCAATTTGCCCCTGAATTTCTGACCTAGGAGGAGAGTGGAGGTAGAGCAAAAAAGTTCCCAGACCTGCTTTAAGCTGATCAATTTCTTCCTTGCAGTGATACAGGACTGATGGTAATTTAAAAGACCTAATTCTAGTGACTTTACAGTAAGGGTTATACCCTAACATCAACTGTAAAGGCAAGAATAGAAGCCACAGACAGACCAGTTAGTTAAGAAGCCACTGCAAAAATCCTAGAAAGAAGATCATGGCAGGGCGAGGTCTTAGTCCATTTCTTGTTGCTCATAACAAAATACCCAAGACTGGGTAATTTTCAAGGGAAAGGAATTTAATTATTATAGTCATTGTATTGAGGCAATATGACTCTCAACTTTTATATTTTGGTGAGAATGTAGATTTACTTATCTCTATTTTACCTACTCATTGTAAGATCCAGTGAAAGAAGAGACCATCTTGGTTTTGTTCGCCTAGTTTTACCTAGCTCTCAGTACAATCTCTGATATTCAACAAATGTTTAGATATTTGTCAAAGGAACAAATGGATGGCTCTGAAATAGGCAATGGTAGTAGTGAATGGACGACATTGTGTCACAGGCTGGTAGTCATAACACAGCTGTGTTATAAAATTGGTTCCATTGCCCTACTTTGTTAAACAGAGCAGCGCTTTTTGGCTCTGATCATTGTTAGTACCTTCCAGGCTGGTGCCATCAGGAACCCCAGGACTTGGTAGTGAGATTTGCATTTTTACTTCATTGTCTGGTACCACTTGGCTCTACAGCTTTTCTTTACATTTACTGTAATTCTCGGATCTCTTCTTTGTGCTAGTTGGTATCATTTTCTTTCAAATTAACCTCTTCTAAAGTAAGTTTTTGATGGTGATGATTTGGGGTATTTAAGCTCTCATTTGTGGGGTGGTACTCGGGGTAAGTATGGAAGGATCCTTATATGTCTTCCCCTGGTAAATCCCTTTTTACAAAGACAAATCATTATTAAACCAAATGATTATAGAAGAGATGACACTTTTTTTTTTTTTTTTTTTTTTTGTTTGAGATGAAGTCTTGCTCTGTTGCCCAGGCTGGAGTGCAGTGGCGCATTCTCAGCTCACTGCAACCTCTGCCTCCCGGGTTCAAGCAATTCTCCTGCCTCAGCCTCCTAAGTGTCTGGGATTACAGGCACATGCCATCAACCCGGCTAATTTTAATAATTTTAGTAGAGACAGGGTTTCACCGTGTTGGTCAGCTGGTCTCCAACTCCTGACCTCGTGATCTGCCCACTTCAGCCTCCCAAAGTGCTGGGATTACAGGCATGAGCCACCGCGCCCAGCCCAGATGACACTTTGTATTGGTGATAAATTAGAATTCTTTAGACTTAAGAAATGAAATGAGGTATCTTATTCTAAAACCAGCTTTCAATGAGCTGTGCTTGTGGTGAGCAGAGTATGATGAAATGCCCCTGATGTGTATGCTCCTGTGTGACTTCTCTTTGATGTCATCACAGCCATTGCTTTCTGTAATAAATGTCAGTTTTTATGTGTCCATTAAATTACTGTGTTTTACCTATGCTGATAACTAGAGCTGAATGGTTGTTGTCAAACAAGAGATGTGTCTAGTGCTACCAAGGGGTACTAGAGAGTAGAGATGTTGCTTAGATATGGAAGCAGAGAGTGAATAAGGAAATAACAGATCAGAGGGAAGTGGCATGTGATGAAATAGAGGTGCTCAGGGTGGTGTTTCTCCATTTGAAGTAAATTGAGGATCCCGGGAGCAGAAGGCTTCCATCTGTGTCTTCCTTTTGTGTTCAAGGAAAGAGAAGTTTAGACCGAGGATAGGACCAAGATAAAACTGGGAACAAGAAAATAGGTTCTTCGGCATCTAGGAGAAAACACATCAGAAATGGGAGTAGTCTGTGTTCAGAGGATGGGGAAGGTGAGCTTCTCCAGAAGAGGGGCTGGGCCTCAACTGTGTCAGCTACCTAACCCAAGTGCTAAATGTCTCTTCGATCACTGAAGGAGTAACATAAATGATCACCAAAGAAACGTATCTCAAAATCTATAGAACACTGAGCTTTAAATTTAAATTTGCTTGTGATTGCTCAAAACTGTATTACTTTAGCCTTAGTACAATCTCAAACCTTTATCAAAACTTGTTTAAATTCAGGCATCTTGACTTAAAACCTTGTCTAATAATATCCTCTCAACACAAAATACAAGTTTTACATTTATATGTTGATTTTCCGAGCTCCACTATGGACCAGTTATTGAAATATCATCATCATCATGAACGTTGTAATGAAATGAAATGGCCTAATTGCAGTCACCTCTTTTCTCTCTTCCAGTGCATTTTTAGAAAATGGGTCAAAGTCAAAGTAGGATATTTGTGTTCTTTTCCTGCTCCCAGCTTATTAGCTTGAGTATCCATTTCCTGAATATAACCAAATTTACCAAATAAAAGGGACAGGATATGGAATAAAGAAACCAATCATTGCTGTTGCTCTATATTTTAGATACATCTCTCTCCCATACCCGAATCTGCTCACCTTTCTATTCCAGAAAAGAGTTCTGATTTTTTTAGTGACTTGTAAACATTCCTTTCTTCCTGTAGGTGGAATGGCTAAAAAATGAGGAGCCCATTGACTCTGAACAAGATGAGAACATTGACACCAGGGCTGACCATAACCTGATCATCAGGCAGGCACGGCTCTCGGACTCAGGAAATTATACCTGCATGGCAGCCAACATCGTGGCTAAGAGGAGAAGCCTGTCAGCCACTGTGGTAGTTTATGGTAAGACCAGCCCAAAGGCCAGGAATGGATAGGGAGGGCAGAAAGCAGAGAGGCAGAGGGATGTATGTTTTATTAAAACTTTTAATGTCGAGAGCTGCAAAGACCTTGGAGTTCGTTCACTGCAGCGCTCTATCCTGCCTCCCCCACCTGGCAGGCGAAAAACATCACTATTTCTATTAATGTGTTTGCCGTTCCTTCCAATATTGCACTTCCGTGTGATAGTCAGTGACATTTCCAATCTCTCTTTTAAAAATAATAAAAAGCTGTTTATTTTATTCCATTATGTTTATATTTGAAAAGAATTGAGATGGGCAACTTCTGCTTCCCACGCCTCTCAAACCCAATACTCACCCCAGTTTTTCCTAGACCTGCTGTCAGGTAGTCTCTCCCCTGGTATGTGAAATTCTCCAAAAACAAACAATACTATTTGCTGAATATCTCAGGTATTATATAAAAGAAGTTCCCAGCTATATAAGTAAAGGCATTCCCTTCCACAATAGAAGAGCCCTGGGATTTATTTTTGAAGCACTTAAAGTCAGAAATTCAAATGCTGATATTTTCTTCTTATACTCTGGATTTTCAAGTGCTTTAGAGATTTATTGATGAGTTCTTTCTATTTCTTATAATTTCCTTGCAAGGCAAATTCTGTGTCCCTCCTATTTCAGATGAATAGGCTGAGGACTGGATGAGGTGACCCCACTGTTGTCTCATGATGGGGCAGCCAGCGGGGGCTGCACAGTCTCTCGGTCCCCGGATGCCTGACTCGCAGCACCTGGCACAGTGGCTTGCACATAGTAGGCAATCAGTAAAATCCTCTCTCCTTTTTTTCTCCCCTCCCCATTTTTCTCTCTCAGTGAATGGAGGCTGGTCTTCCTGGACAGAGTGGTCAGCCTGCAATGTTCGCTGTGGTAGAGGATGGCAGAAACGTTCCCGGACCTGCACCAACCCAGCTCCTCTCAATGGTGGGGCCTTTTGTGAGGGAATGTCAGTGCAGAAAATAACCTGCACTTCTCTTTGTCCTGGTGAGATATATGCAGATTCCCTTTTCCCTTCTGATCCACCAACACTATTAAGCTGGTGTGAAGCAATCAATGTTACCTTCTTTTCCAAAGTCACCCTCTCCCAAGTTCTTAGAATAGAACCTTTATCCAAGGTGCTAATGTAAAGCTCATTGTCGTGGCAGCAACGTGGGTAAAATGCCACGATGCGATGTTTTGGGGCATATTTTTTAATACTCAGGTGACACTGAACATTCGTCATCAATAAGCCAATTGCTATGAAGTCTGGTTATACTGCCAGTGTTTGGTTGGGCTAAGCCATCCCCTTCTCTCCTTGGGTTCTCCCATCTTGTGGCCTGTATTTGTATAATAGTTAGCAGGGATTAGATAAACTGTCTTAAAGCACAAAAGAACGGTACCAAATGTTTGACTCTTTATTATTAGTTATCAATCAAATAACTTTATCAGTTCTAGCTTTGTATTTATTTATAACACAATTGATAGAGACTGTACACTGTCACAGCAGTCTATATTTTACATTTGGTCTATGCTTGCCTTTCTTTCTGTAAAAAGAGATACTTCATTTACCAAGTATGGATTTCATAAATTCCGTTGTCTCTTACTGGCTGTAACCCAATTTATACAACAAGAAATAGATGAGATGGAAGATGACTTTCTTTAGGAAATGCATATCCTCCCACTGAGAAATAAATTGACCCTGGGTCTCACATGCACTACAGAACATTAACTCCAAGGACACTGAACTAGAGCCTCATGTCTTTATAATAAAATCGCAAATTTAGTTGCAATCAAAGTTAAGGTAGGGCTCTTCCCAGAAGCATATTCTTGGAGTTTCATTTTGGACTTATGTTCAATAAGCATTTATTGAGTGCTTACTATGTGCCAGGTACTGTGCAGGATGCTTTTACATACATAATGTCATTTACTCCTGTGTTGTGAGTTTTACTATCCCCAGTTGGCAGACATGGTAAAATGAGGCTAAGTAACTCACCCAGGGTTGCTCAGCGGATAAGTTGGCAGATCCAAGACAAGGGCTCAGACATTTTGCTTCAAGTTCAGTATTTTTTTATATTACCCTATTCTTGACTAATTGCTTTAGATTTAAAATTGCAGTATCTTAAATAACCCACATAAGCATGGTTGAACTATTCCTAGGAGGTAAAGGGCAATTGCCTCAGACATCTGCCATGATCTCTAGGGTTGCTTTTTAGTGGAATTAAATTCAGTTTGTTCATTTCTACATACAGCAGCAGTCCATGACCCAAGATATTCTATTTATATAAGTCCTGGTATCTTGGGGTTTGACTGACCTGTTTTAGTTTAATATTATCAATATATTTGGGTTTAACTTTATATTGTTTAGGGGCTTCTAGGGCTTAAAGATAGTTCATTCTACTCTGTTCTAAACTGTCAACCCCTAAGAAAGTGGCTGATTATCAGTGGTTACTGCACACAGTTTATCTGTCCACCTAAGATGCACTTGGGCGTGAAAGACTGGGAAAGAATGGGTCATGACAAATTTTTAGCCAACCCAATGGTGCTGGAAATATGAATGCTTGCCTCAATTTGGTAATTGGTCTCATCCTGAAATAGCAAGAGTATTATACCACTGCTTTTGTGAGCCTGTCTCTTCAGGAAAGAAACCACGGAGAGAAGATAAGTGGATATGTTCTTTTGTTTCTGTTTGGTGGTGATTTCCTTAAAATCCAGCTCTAGAACAACAGCAGTCCTGGGGTGAGTCTCCTGACAGCTACTTGATTCATTCTAACAATGGTTTCTTTTGTTTGCCTTTGAAGTGGATGGGAGCTGGGAAGTGTGGAGCGAATGGTCCGTCTGCAGCCCAGAGTGTGAACATTTGCGGATCCGGGAGTGCACAGCACCACCCCCGAGAAATGGGGGCAAATTCTGTGAAGGTCTAAGCCAGGAATCTGAAAACTGCACAGATGGTCTCTGCATCCTAGGTAACACCTTCAGTTTAACATCTTTAGTGTTTGTTCATAATACTATTTATGCATCTCAAGAAAGTAAGCTACAACCATTAATGTGGTTAAATAAGTTAGCAAAAAGCCAAGTTGCTAATGGCAAAATAAATTAGGTAAAAAGTGCAGAAAAGCAGACAAATGCATTTTTAATAGAGTTGGTATAAATTCATATATTGTATCACTGTGCATTCTGTTTATGTGTGTATTTATTAAATTGATAACATTTTAAGAGTAGGAAAAAAGTTAAAATATTTTAGACTTTTAGAAGCTTCCATTTTTAATTTTGGTGAAATTCTGATACTGATCACTGTGGTTATATTTCCCCCCAGGAATTTTGCAAGCACAGTAAAGCATTTAATCATCTTTAGAGACCATGGATTCTGTGGCAAGGACCATGTTTTGTGACTGTTATCTTAAAAATAGACTGGGCGTGGTGGCTCACGCCTGTAATCCCAGCATTTTGGGAGGCCGAGGCGGGCGGATCACAAGGTCAGGAGATCGAGACCATCCTGGCGGTGAAACCCCATCTCTACTAAAACTATAAAAAATTAGCCAGGCTTAGTGGTGGGCACCTGTAGTCCCAGCTGCTCGGGAGGCTGAGGCAGGAGAATGGCATGAACCCGGGAGGCAGAGCTTGCAGCGAGCCGAGATTGCACCACTGCACTCCAGCCTGGGCAACAGAGTGAGATTTCGTCTCAAAAAAAAAAAAAAAAAAAAAATTACGGGGAAAGGAGAGTGATACCTGAGGAAGTGGGTGGCTTTGTATCACAGTGGTCTGGCAGAGTAGCAAGTAGAACATTTGTTTCAAAATTCCCAAGTCTTTGCTTTATTCCTGAGATTACATTATTACCATCACCAAGGGACTGTCTGCCTGGGTTAGAAGATATGGGAGGGTCAACTAGAGTTCAAGAGAAACAGGTTTTCATTTGGTGCTCTTCCTTATTTACTTTGTGTTCTTTGGGCAAGTTGCTTAATCTCTTAACTTCTCTGACTATAATTACCAAATATGATACCCACTTTTTAGTATTGTCAAGGCTAAATGATAAAATAACATATTTGAATGTTGTATGGCACAGAGTAGGTACACACTTGATATGGATCTCTTCTCCACTCACCCACTCAGATGAACCAAAGTGTATTGATTTTGCTGGGGTATTTAAAAAACACAAGACTCAGCACTTATTTCTCTAGAACTGGTCGCCTTCTTGGAAATTTCTTTGGAAAGTATCTAGCAAAAAAATATATATATATATACTATAGCTTACTAGTTTGTGATCTTCTCAGAGAGATGCATCACATTTTCTTTGGGAAAATGACAGTATGGAGGAAATATCTAAGTTGGTTTTATTTTTCTGCCTTAGTATGACTGAATACCCTTGAAGGCAGGCACCTGCTACCTATTGTATTTTCAGACTAATTCTGTATGGTTCATACATCGGTTAAAATGATTAGTACATTGAGCACTGCCTGATAGCCTTTATTTGCTAGTACAAGCACTGATTACCTTGCATGCATCAGATACGATGCAGGGGCCTGTAATGGAAGACCACCTACCCACCAGTTGTAGTTTGGGTATGCTCTCCAATAAATGCATACCAACTATTTGCTGCCTTCAAAAAGCCTTCCCCCTTCCTAAATGTAAGGAATCTGAACACAAGCTCAATAGAAGGATTTTTAAAGAAATATGCTTCTCACCTCTCTTGAATACCACCAGGTTTTCCTAATACACACATTTGAGGTGTGACTGTTTTTATTTCCACTACAGGAGAACAAGGAGAACACTTAGAAAACCGCTCATGTGTCACTAAAACTACACATGGCCAATGTCCATAGAAAGAGTTCATTTAGTAAGCCAATAAACTGCTTAAAGCAACTACCTGAACTATGACCATGAGTGACTTCAAGGAAAGAACTAAGGAAAGCTTTTTGAATTTTACAAGGACATATACACCTGATCGATTTTATGTGTCAACCGGACTGAGCCATGGGATGTCGAGATATTTGACCATGATTATAAATTAGTACAGTTGGGCGGTGAATTTCATGTCTTCTAAAGAACCATGACAATATAACTATTTGGCTACTGGTTGAAATTTTTATATTCATAATAATAACCTTCACTAACAACCACAGGTTGTACTTGCACTTGGGGAAAATCAGTGGATATCAGGCTTCAATCTTAATTGACTAAGACTTAATCTGAGAATTACTGATTGGAGACAGATAATGGTTAGCTCTTAATAGAAGAAAGAATTGTTATCCAACACACAAATATTATTTTTTTTTGCATTTGCATTGTAATAGCTTGTCATTTATCAATTGAATAAGAGTTCTGTTTAAGGCTGAAAGGACTTATCAGCACTGAGAGTGTACTGGCAAGCCTCTATCCTAACTCTGAAATCTGAGATGCAATATTAGACAGGGTTCTCCAGAGAAACAGAACCAATGGGATATGCACACACATAGAGAAAGAGTGCAATGCAGAGATGTTTAAATATATTTATTATGAAAATTGGTTCATGTGATTCTGAAGCCCGGCAAGTCCAAAATCTGCAAAGCCCATGTCCCAGTTCAGGCCCAAAAGTTGGTAGGCTGCTGTGGAACCAGGAACATCTGATGGCCCGGTTAGAAAGCTCTCAGGCAGGAAGAGCCAATGTTTTAGTTGGAAGGCTGTCAGGAAGGAGCATTCTCTCTTACTCACGGGAGGGTCAGTCTTTTGTTCTATTTAGGTCTTCAACTGATTGGATGAGGCCCACCCACATTATGGAGGGCCATCTGCTTTTTTTCAGTCTGTGAATCTAAATGTTAATCTCATCCAAAAACACTCTCACAGAACCATCTAGAATAATATATGACTTGATATCTGGGCAACCCATGGCCCAGTCAAGTTGGCACATAAAATTAAATGCATCACGGATGCATACGTACTTTTATGGAATTAAAACAGCTCAATCCTTTCCTATAGTGGAAATAACATAGCTAGGAAGATAGGCTTGGGATGTGTAAAAAGATCTCTGTTAAATACTCCCATGAGTTGAAAATGCTACATAAGCCTTTTCTTTCTATGTAATCTATTAATTTCTTCCACTTTCTTTTTCACTTCAGCATGTTTTTTCGAGCCTTCATTGTATGCATATTAGTGTATTTATCAAATATGATCAGAGACTTTTGATGGCTATAGTGATAAAGATTTTTGAAGGAGAAAGGGTGAAGTCTATGAGATTATTGATGTAATTGAGATATATTTTCATATCAGTAGGAAACGGGTATGTTCATAAGAGCACAACACCAGGATGTATTCTGTCCTTTTAAATAGAAAGTGGCTACCTATATAACAAAAATGAAAAACACCAGACATGGTGGCTCACACCTGTAATCCCAACATTTTGGGAGGCCAGGGCAGGAGGACCACTTGAGTCTAAGAGTTCAAGATCAGCCTGGGCAACATAGCGAGACCCTGTCTCTACAAAAAATAAAAATTAAAAAAATATAAGCCAGACATGGTGGCTTATGCCTGTAGTCCCAGCTGCTCTGGAAGCTGACGTGTGAGGATGAAGCTGCAGTGACCCATGATCGTGCTATTGCAGCCCAGCTGAGGCAACACAGTGAGATCCTGTCTCAAAGAATAAATAAATAAAAATAATACTTCACTCTCTCTTCAGGAAGCAATGAACAGTAATCCAATTAAATGATGCCAACATCAATCTGAGGTTCTCACTGGTACTCTGTTGGAGTGCTCTTGGTGAAAATAGCTGTGCTTTGAGGATAGAGCTCCAATGAAGGCTGACTTTGATTAAAATAGTGTTTGGCAACAGCTTTATGGAGCAGTAGCTTTATTGAAGAATCTAGGTCATATTACAATTTGGGAATTTTCTTCATCCTGATTTTCTTCCTTGACACTCAACATGACCCTAGAGCAATTCCTCAATTTCCACCTTCTCGTGGAGGATTCACAATGGCATTTCTTGGTTCTTAGATGACCTACATGTCTTTGATTTTATTTAGCCTTCAACAAAACACCTGGTTTTTCTTTGTTGTCTCTGAGGGTTGCATTTCTCCTAGAGATGAAGCTGCCAGCTCTGAATGATGACTTTAATATTTGGGTATTATTGTTGCTTAGTCAGTTGTGACTAGAACACAGAACCTTAATGTTACACTGTCCCAGATGGCCATACCTAGATGCTCTCAACAAGAAAATAAATACGGCTGGCACAGTGGCTTATGCCTGTTATCCTAGTATTTGGGGGACCCAGGAGAGAGGATCACTTGAAGCTAGGAGTTCAAGACTATCCTGGGTAACAAAGCAAGACCCCAGTCTCTACAAAAGAAAAATGAAAAACGAGTCAAGTGTGATGGTACATACCTGTAGTCCTAGCTATTCGGGAGGCTGAGGCAGAAGGATCACTTGAGCCCAGGAGATCGAGGCTGCAGTGAGCTATGATTGCTCTACTGCACTCCATCCTGGGTGACAAAGGGAGACCCTGTCGCTTAAAAATCAAAAAGTAAGTAAATGCCCCAAGACTGGTAAGAAGCAGATTAGGAATTTTTTGGCAATAACTGTGAATCCACAAAGCTAAATTACAAGCATAAACATGCAATGCCTTTATACTAGAGTATTGCTTTTCTAGAGGAAAAAGGTAATGATGTGGTATGACTGTCAAGAAACAAGAACTTGTAGTTCCATGTTTTCTGAGCTTGAACACCAGAATCAGGTGGTTTCCTGACCATTGGTCTTTCTCCTTACTGTACATAGCTGCTTCTGTGCTCTCAGATCACAGCCAGAGAGAAATAAGCTGTGCATGCCTCATTGACAGGAAGAGAAAGGTGAAAATAGCAGGGTGTTTAGTTTGATCCTGAGGAATAGGAGAAGCCAGCTCCCTCTCTCTTTACCCCAGGAGATATAAAACTAAGGGCATTGGCTTGAGAAGATTAAATGTGTATGCTTCAGAAGGGATTAGCACCTAGATGTGTAGTGAGAC